TTTGTTGTCGTGTCTAATGTTGAATTGTTAAAATCGCGCTATTAGGTCGAAAGGTGCTGAGAAAGCGTCGTTATTACGCCTGAGAACTTAGCAGATGTTTAGCTCCCAGTTGTAAAAGTTGACAGTTATTAAACAAAAGTATAGCTGTACTGTGATCTTATGACACCGTGGTAGGAAGGTAGAACTACAATGTGATATTATGATGAGATGATATAAACACATCCGAATTCGGATCCTCACAATAGCACTCCCCAGTATAATCCTATGCACTTCTGTTTTTACACAAAAAATGTTAATCATGTCATACCAAAGTAAACAGGAAAACAGATTGTTTCTTTTCTTTACAGAGTAATGCAAGTCAATATGCCATCTTATTTGTCCACCTATCTCCAAAAAGAATTTGGACAGAAGGGTGACAAGTCACATCATTCGTTGCCTTTAGCCTAATACTCTCTCAGTAATCCAGCACTCTTGCTAATCTGGAACCCTTCTATGCAAGTAATGACCAGATTAGCAAGAGCAGTGTATTTGATTATCTGGGCAATAAAATAAAAAAGAGAAATTCAAATTTTGATATCAGTTGCAAAATTGAAAAAGCACAGTTGGTATTTTATCAAATACAGTCACAAACAATAGTTTTTCAAGAAAACTAAAGATTAATAATATTAACACTTCTTCAAATTCTATTGGACAATTTATTACATAAAATCTCACTAACTTCAAAAATTAGTCCAGCAGTTGTCAAAATTATTACTTTTCTAATGTTTTCAACCTACTCCAAAGGTCTTCATCAGAAAATTCAAATAATGGAATGCTCCTTGAATGTTTGTTTGAGTCAAATACATTTTTAAAAATTTGCTGTCATGCACACATTATGCAATTCATGGATATGCAGTTCTTAAGGTATTATCAAAGTATGCCTGCACACACTTTAGAAATCATTCTTTCTTCCTTGTTGTTAACACAGTTTCCTGTCCTGTTTGCTTTGAAAATTTCAAGGGCTTCCATCTCTCTATGTTCCATCTCCCAAAAATAGATGTTTTCAACAAGCCTGGAGGCTTGTTGAAAACATCCATTTTTGGGAAACATCTTGTTGAAATAACAGGATGATACCTTCTTCTGATATAAAGATTGAGAGGGCATTGACAATTTTTCCATGCTGAATGTCCTATTTGTCTAAGATGTTTGGATAGTGATCGTTTGGTAAAGCCGACGTAGATCAGATCTCTTCCAGACCTGCTGTCCCTACAGGAATGGCATATATTCCAGGGGATCTATCCTTATTTAAAGGGTCCTTTGACCTTCTAAGTAAATTGAAAATGGTCAAATTTCTCTTGTACGTGACGCTATGTCCCTTGAGACTATATATCTGGTTATATATAGGAGTTAAAATGCAATTATATCATACTACTAAGTGATCTTTTTTCTCTTTCTCTTTCGGTTGTGTTGTATCACGTTATTCCTGCCTGTAGCCACAAGATTATTAATGTTCTCAATGAGTCACTTAGGAAATCTGTGATTGGTTGCTATATTATTAATACAGTATTTCACACATTGATGTGCTGGTGCAGTGGTTTATGTGCTCTCTTGACAAGTGCCATGAATACTGCTATTTTATAGTAGTATGGGTCATGGGAGTCTGCCAGAATGTTGAGGCCTTAATTCAACAAATGCATGTCACACACCACCTTACAGTGTAATCATTTAAAAGCTTTGGAATCTCCTGGAAATTTTTAAAGTGGGGCATAACAGTAAGTGCACAAACAAAAAAAATGAAAAGCAATTTTTATATGCTTGGCAAATACTTTACAATATTTCCTTATAACATCAGTAGCATCAGTTCTTTTTAAATTGAATTCTATGGATGTTCTACCTATACATTCCAAGAAGAGAATGAATTTTTTAACACTCAAGGAAGAAATCAGGAGAAATCAAAAACATTTGGAACGGTTTATTTTCTACAGTCTACAGCAGACTTACCTAAGATTCTTTCATGGTTTTATTGTGTAAAATGATATTGCCAGTGTCTAAGAATTGTGTCTTTAAATACTTTAATGCCAACATTCTTCTTTTATTTCGTATAATAACATGTTTTGAGTTGACACCATTCTCAAAATCTGCCAGTCAGTCATTAATTTGTCATTCGTGGCCTTCCACATTTTGTACTAGCCAGTTTCCATCACTGGCTATTACACAATAAAAGCCATATTTTGATTATTGTAGAGCATGCAATTTCAGCATCAGTCTTACCTTCAGATTTCAACTTTAATATCTGCAAATTTCTTCTTCTGAATTGCAAAGACTTTGTTAATTTGTTGATGAAAGCAATCCTTTTGCTTCTGTACTGCTCCTGTGAAACATAATTTCAACCAACTGGTTTGTTTTAGATACAAGAAATGATGTGTGCCTAAACTTTTTCAACAGTAATTTTCTATAATTTTTTGAAATATATAGTTTTTAAATTTTAGGAGTTTTATACATTGAAATGCCATTGCTTGATTATTTTGTATGCCTGATTAACACTCAGTTAATTTCCATGTTTTCCTTTTAATGTTATTGTTACATTCCATTTATGCTTAAACTTTTCAGATGCTATATACAGTAGTCCCTCATACCTCAAATTTAATTCATTCCACAAAACCATTTGAAGTCCAAATTAATTTTTCCCATTAGAAATAATGGAAACCGAATAATTAATCCATCCTGAGACCCCAAACAGTATCCATCTCAATAAACTTAAAACAGTAAATACACAATTAGATGCCCTGTAACGTCTTATTATATGAAAGTAAAGCAAAAGCCTGGAAAAATACGCTAATGATGCATTACGTACTAAGGTTTGTAGTTACTTGAATAAGCAAAAATAAAATATTATTATTAAAGATCAA